GTGGACTTTCTTTTGTCGGTGTCTTTTTGGTGTTGTCAAGCTGCTTTTCATTCTCTTCTTCAGAAGACTCCATTTGCTCTTTATTTGCACCTGGCATCTTGACATGTATCTCAGGTAGTTGAACTCCACTTCATGTAGTAATGGCTTGAACATGCTCCCTAGGATTTACCTCTGTGTTTCTCGGTAGTGCACCAGGTACTCTTCCTGTCATAGAGAGAGCTAACTGTCCCACTTGAGTCTCCAGGTTCTTAATAGTTGTACCCTAGTTTTGGAGAGTCGTTTCAGTCTTCCTCATGAATTGATTAGTGGTTTCCATGTATTTATCGATTTTTTTCATGAACTTTGCAAACATGTCTTCCAATTGAGATTTCTTCTCTTGCTGAAGCTGCCCTTGCGTCCGATTATGATTCTGATTGTGATTCTGAATTCCAACCCAAGAGAAGTTTGGATGATTTCTCCATCCCGGATTGTATGTTTCAGCGTGAGGATTGTTTTGCTGACGTTGATCCCATTGAGCAAAGTCCACATGTTCCATCCTTTGTGTAACGATACGACATTCAGCTATGCCATGTTCTGCTCCACATTCTTCACAATTTAGTTTTTCTCACTTGTGTTGAATTCATAGTATGTGTTATGCCTTCTATCTTGTGAAATAAGGAGTCAATCTTTGCAGACAATGTCGAATAGGTATCTACCTCATACACTCCAGCTGCTTTCTTTATACCCACTCTATCTGAAGACTACATGGCTGAAGTATTAGCCATTCTCTAAACAAGTCCCAAGCTCTCTCGATTGACCTAGTGTTTAGGGAGCCATTTGATGAAGAATTCACAATGCTTCTGAAAGTTGGAGTTAGTCCTACATAGAAGAATCTGATTTATGTTGTCTTGTTGAACCTATGTTGAGGACACTTCCTTAGCATGCTCTTGAACTTATTCCACGCCTCATCAAATGCATCTGTTTCATTTGGGCTAAAAATTGATATGTCATACCTCAATCTCGCCACTTTGGCTGATGAGAAGTATTTGGTGCAGAATTT